GCGCAGAAGGCATGGTGCTTTGTCATCTAGATGTTGAGCAATATGCCATGAGAACCTATCATCAAATTAGAATGGGTCTAAATTTAATTCATTGAACCCCAAAATAAAGGTCTCTTTAATTAAAGACTAGTCATTTTCTTGAATTAACATGCATGAGAAGAAAATGAAAAGAAGAGGTAAAAGGGGTGGAAAAAAGTAGTGTCACGTCCGTGTTGTCTTTCGGTGCCCATGCAACCGGGGAACTTTTTCCTTGTCCGTTCTAAGTTTTTCAAACTAGTACAAGAAAAGAACTTTTAGTAAACGGGAAAGAAACTTGCCCCCCCAACAACACAAAACCAAAAAAATATTGACCACAAAATAAATAAGTATATAAATATTAAAAAAATGGCATAGAGTAAGTTGGAGAAGGAAACAAGACTGTGATAACAACATTTGATAAATTATTGAAGCAAATGACCATGTCAAACAATGAATGACATTTAAGTCATTAACCAGTACCAACATTTGAATTATATATGAATTTAACGTCCCATCAATCCCTAAGTCTTTCCCCCCAAAACCCTGAGAAAAAACAAAGAAAGGTAGCCCATCAAGTTGCAACAGGGTTACCAATTGGCTGGATGAAGTTTCTCTGTGTTTATTTTACACATATATTTATATATTATGAATTAAAATTCTCAAAACTTAGGGGGGGCCATGGCCCCCCTCTGCCCCCCCTTGGCTCCATCATTGCTCTGTGGGTTCCTCTTATATTGTTCTTGGGGCTGATCTTAGCGATGCCTTCTGTGTCGTTTGCGTTGAGTGATGTGTGTGCGCTTTCTGTAACATTTGTGAAAGAAAAAAGTTGCAACAGGGTTCGACAAAAAAAAAAAAAAATCAAGTTGCAACAGGGGCTATAATAATAATTAGAAGTGGCAAAATGGATATATGGTTGATAAATGGTTTTAGTTAAATGGATTGTGGATCAAATTGATCCAATCCAATTAAAACCATTTAATAAATGGATCTAAATGGATGTCATTTAAATGGATAGTGTAAACCATGATCCATTCATTTATCCATTTACTCTCCCAAATCCTAAATTTAAGATCAAAATGTTTTTTTTCCAAAAAATACATATCCCCAAAGTTCTATCCTTAAATCACCTAAAACCTTTTGGTAATAACAAATACTTGTACTACTACTCTATTTCAGTTCTTCATAAAATTAGTTTAATTCCAAGAAAATTTAACTGTTGTGGTCAATTTAACCTTTCGTCATTACTTTAAGTATCATTTTGTAAAGTAATGAACAATTAAGAACTTGGCCATATTTTTATAACTTTTGAATGAATTGAATACGGCTTTACAGTGAAAAAAAGTTTACGTTTCCAATTTTTTGCACTCCTGTTCAAGAGTGATGTCTTGAATAAAAGTGGAGTTCTAATAAGAAATCTTATGTTATTTGACAAGTAAAATATTTGCATCACATGTGCACGTAGTACCTAAAAATGTATGAAACTCCTTATTATACCATTGATATACCAGCTACCTTATATTACTTAGTAAATTAGGTGTCTTTTGTTTTTTGGATAGTTGAGTTGGGTGATAAGGGGAGAGGGATTGCAAGTATGAGGATTTGGGAAAAAAAAAAGTGTCATTTACATATCTTAACCAATGTTGCGGGGACACTCGTTAGAAAATTTTTTTTTTATAAATAAAAGAATTAAAAAAATAAAAATTATTTTGACACTGCATGATGCATTCTCGCTTTTTCTTTACTTAAGAATATAAATGTTTGCAATCATTACTACATGAGAGTTTAATTAAAAAAAACAAGAGTAGAGACTAAAATATAATTTTGAAAAGGATGGAAGAAGTCTAGGAACTAGAACCAAATAAAATGCAATTAATGTTATTGGCAACTTGGCATGCGAGGAAGTTATGAAAGAAAGAATAGGTGGTCCCACAAAATTAATTTGACATATGATAAAGTTATGAAGAAAAGAATAGATGGTCCCACAACATTTTATCTCACATTCTTATAAATGTGTTTTCTATTTTTTAAGTTAAATGGATGTATATGGATAAGATGGATAATCCATTTAAATCCACTAACATAATTGGATTTAAATGGTTATCCATTTAAAACCATTGAATTTATATGGATCATCCAAATCCATTTAAGGTTGGTTTATATGGATGGATTAGTGGATATGAATCCATTTTGCCACTTCTAATAATAATATTTGTTAAACAAGAATGTTCTATGCGGCTGTGCCATGTTTGTTATGCAATGCAGAGTACTTACCTTAAGAGTCCTCAGACAAAGGTTAAAGGGATTGAGATTCTCTGAGATCATATCAGGAAATGATGATGTTAAAGATGAAAAATGTATCACAACCTTCTTTACTTTTCTTTCCTTTTTTTTTGGGTTTTTTTTTTAAGTTTTGTTTTCTTCTTTTATTTATCGACCATTCGCTTCATATATATCCGAAAAAAAAATTAAGATAAAAAATTAAAGATGAAAAATGTGGCACCATAGAGCTGAGATTGGTCACGTACACAGCATTCAAATACGGAGTATATGTCATTTTACATGCACAGAAAGATACTTTTCATCCCAAAAACAATTTATCTAACATCTTTGTATATGGTCCATCAAGCACTACACAAAATTCTTCTTCTTCTTTAAATTTTATTTTCATGGTGATGCAAAGAGGGAGAAGGGGGGGGGGGGAGAGGTGGGTATAGTATAGTGGTTAGCCATGATCAAATCAATTGTCATTGGGTCTGATCCATTGGTAGGTTTAGGGTTTAAATATGAGCCACACAGTAGTATTAATATGAGTGGTTTTGGTGGATGAAGGCACCTAATTTTGGAAATAACCATTAGTAGCATCAAAACACAATGAGTGGAGCTAATTATCATCCTAAACAATTTATTCCGTGATGTGGTCCTCAAATAATTTTCAAGACTTGATTTTAAATTTTCATTTTAAAATAACATATTTTGTATTCTCAACTGCTTTTCATATCCCAATTTTATTTTAGATTTTTTAGCCTAAAAAACTAAAAAAAAAAAATCAAAAGAATCTATTGCAATACTTTTTTATTCCGATTTTCTAAAACTAGCTATTATACACTAGCAGTTAAGAACGGCGCCGTTATTCCTTTTTCAAGTTTCCTTTTCATCCTCTAAAAGAAGTCGGATGAAAATATTTTCCCATTGTTTCTGTTAGGTATATTCACCAGTTTAAATCGTACATAATACTTGGCCTTTGAAGATTAGATTATTAATTGATATTTGAAAGAAATTAGTTATGAAATGAGTTGTTGGTAGGGATGGCAACGGGGCGGGGGAGGGGTCGGGGTTGAGGCGGGGGACCCTCCCCCATCCCTCGCCCCGCTGCCTACAAACTCCCCCCGCCCCATCCCCTGTCCCCTGCTCCCCCCGTCCCGTCCCCGCTTCCCCCGCGGGTGCCTTCACGGGGCTAATAAAAATTTGTTATATAATTTTATTATGGTTAAATTTTAGCAAATAATCAAGTACTAAAATATCAATATATCATCAAATTATTATTCATTGTAATTTTACAATTGAAACTTATAAAAACAATCAAACAAAAATTATTTGAATACAATCCAACATGATGAAATAAATATAACTAAAGTAGTCAAGTTTTCACTTTTGGCACAAATACAATCACTAATTCATTATTGTGCTTGTGTTTTTTTTAAGAAAAAAATGTTATTGTATTAAGTGTAATCAGGGATTTAGTATAAATGTATTACTAAATTTAGTATAACCAATTAATAATTTGTATTAGTAAACATATATAATTATTAGTATAATTAATAATATCAATTATATTATATATACTAATAGACATCATATAATACATATAACTAATAATATCATTATCATAAGTTTGTAACTAATTAAATTATATATTATATAATAATTATATACATATATATTTTATATATTTATTTTTTTAAAGCGGGTGGCGGGGCGGGGGTACACTCCCCCGTCCCCAGCCCCGTTTCTAAACGGGGGGAAAAAATTCCCCCCGCCCCCGCCCCACCCCCTCCCCATTAGCCCCCGTGGGCACCCGCCCCCATTGCCATCCCTAGTTGTGGGGCTTTGTCTACTGCCCTTTTGTTGGTTTCTGTTGTACTTTTTCTTTTCTTTTCTTTTTTTTTTTTGTTGTAGTTATAGCTGGTGCAGGCAAAAATTCAAGCTTACAAATTTATGTGGCCATCGGTTGTAAGACAATTTATCTCAAATAATTTGGTACTTTCTTTTTTGCTTATATACTTCAAACAGGTGGTTGGAAATGGATTCTCATTGATTCTCTTTGAAATAAAGGGGATTATTTAACAGCTCGTTAACACACTTATATTCCACCTAATCTAACACACACACACACATATATACACACACACTAAAAATTATTATCTTACTTTGCATTTGCATTTTTTTTCTAATTAATTTTACTTTTTCAAAAATTTAATATCTGAATTATGTGTTTTGGATACATGTTTTGTAAAATAATACCTCGATATATTATATGCCATAATGGGTCAAAGAAATTTAAAAGGGAATAAAAATGCTTATTCTAGTTTTTATCTCATGAAGGGGTGCTTTTATCTCATTAAAAATTAGTCAGACTTTTAAGTGGAGTCCAAAAACACCCCTTTAGGAGTTAGGCATGACTTTCCGCCTTTCTTAGGTGGAGTGATGAGGCGTGATACCAAACAGATTCCATTTTCACGCCTTGAGGAGATAGGTTGCGATCTCGCAGATGGCAGGTATAGTGCGGGTACTAAAAACGTTAACGCTGTTATGCTGCCCCCAGCCGTAGAGGGCAAGAGGCGTGATATATATCTTGCTATCAGTTCCACGTCTTTAGATTTTGCACACTGACACCTCTCATTAAAACTTGACAGAGAAAGCATAGTAAGGTTCTTATGGCTCTAATGTAATCTAACATTTTGCTTAAAAGGAAAAAAGATATGAAGAAAATCTAACCTAATTTTTCCTCCTCCATTTCCTTCTTCTTTTTTTTTTTTTGTTATTTGCTTTTTTTGGCTTTTGGCAGTTTTACAAACACATTGATCATATGGATATCATTTGCCTCATACAGCTCTCAAGATGCTATTGATACAACAAGGAATGAAAGTAGTGATTTATACCTACTAATATTATGGCCATCTAATATTATCAGCCACATATTCCTAAATGATGGCAGGAATTCTTCCAAAACCAAGAAAAATGAGGTGGTGCAAATCCAGCTATAATCAGCAGAAATTATCCCCGGAGATAGCGCCAAGGTCCTGTTCTGGTTCCTATCCTGCAGGTGTAAAAATGGAAATTAAGTAACAATTTAGATATTTGACAAAATTTCATGAAATTATAGCCTGCATGGAAATGTGAAGGGAAAGGTTCTCCCCTGTAGCTACAAGGGAAAAAAGAGTGTTTCTTTTCTATTGATTATGGAGAAATAACCATTAACCAATGCCAGATTACCTCCAAAATCCAGCTAACGCCCGCAAACTCATGAAGATAGATAATGCAAGCCATATACCAACAAAACCAAATCTCGAGGACAGCAGTAGCAAGAGTATTATACTCACTGCTGCCACAGAAATCTGCAGGAGAAAATACAAGATAAGCTAAACTTTGTCTATGGTTTCTTGAGAAGCAGGGAAATTTCTTTTTAACTTGTGCTGCTCATACTGGCAAAATATCATATGATAGACATGATGGACAGGAGTACGAGGAAATGCACAAGACTTCTCTCTAGACAAGCATCACGAATAGAAAGGAAAAGTTGAAGGGTTGAAACTTGCCATGGAGTAGGCAGAATAAGAAAAATCAGATGCTCCATAGTTTATTCCATCAAAAACAAAGGCCACAGAGTTAATTGGCTGCGTCACTACAACAAACTGCATTCAACCGTTAGTATACATTTTAACCGACACTGGAAACTTAAAAGAAGATCTTCGTGGAAAGCAAAATATACCGGGATGCCCAAACTTAAAAGATGGAGAACATTTATATCTGCTGTGAAAATTGTTGATGCATATTTCAGTATAACAATGACAATGAGTGAAAGAACCAGCCCAAGTACCAATCCCAACTGCAGAGTTGAAGATCTTGTCAGTACAGAATATAGATAGGAAAAAAATTTAAGAAAAAGGCAGAGATGAATGAAAGTAACAAGAAGTTCTTAAAGTATAAACAGTGGAAGTACCTGTAAGACACGAGAGGCAGTAGTTGTGGCTCTCTCGTAGTCATTTTTTGCAAATGCACTGGCAAGAATGGCCTGCAAAACAATTAAAACAAAGCTACCTATGTCTTAACACCAACAAATCAAAAGTACTTTCTAAAACTTGAGCAAAAAATGGGATAAAGCGTTGAATATTATGCAGAACAAAGGAATTAGTCCACTCAAAAGTAAGACTTAAACATGGCGTTGAATGAGTTATCTAGCTTCGGCCTTAAATGAATTAATCAGCTTTTCTAGTGCTTGGACTGCTAAATACTTGTTATGCTTGAAATGATATTTCAAATAGTTTGGACAAGAAACAGACTCATTCACATACATTTCACATGCTTATAGTTAGAATATACTAGTTATAGATGATCACGAACTCTCAGATTATATACATAACCCCTATGGTTCCAATTTTCTAGACATTATTCAGCGGTCATCATCTTTAAGTTGAGTGTGCTTCTTTAAGCCTCAGATAAGAAAAATTAAGTACAGATTAACTAATAATAAATTGCATCATTTATCAAAAACAAAAGACAATTAATGTAAACTGAATTAATGATCCTTACTTGTCCCGATACGGCTAATCCATCAGCAAGTAATGAGGTTGCCAGCCAAACCTGCAAGCAGACCTGGAAAGCAGCCATCGATGTTGATCCCACCCTTGCAGCCAATGAAGCTGCCAAGGTTACGCAGAATGTTGCTGCTATGACTCTCAATAATAGCAGAAATCCTGATCCCAAGTATGCAAAATAAATTAGTATTTCCATGCATATACATTTCCATCTATAAACAGCCGGAAGAAGTTAAGTGAATGCTTTGGGGGAAGAGAGGAAGAGACAAATAAGCATACATGGTAAATCAGCCAAGAGATCAAATATAGTGTATTTGATTGAAAATTTCATGAAATAAATGGTTTCATTTGCAAAACCAGATACTGAGAGTACAAAACTACAAATTTCAATTGCTAGAACAGATGAAGAATTTAGAAACTATGTCATGTTGCAGGTAGACACTCTGCTAATCGAGAAATAAAGCTTTTATGAATTACTTACCATCCTGGTTTTTCCTTCACAAAATTTTCATTTATTTTTAACAAATTGAACAATAGTATGTCTTTGCAAACTTTTTCCTTTGAACCATGCAAAGCATCATTTATACTGCAAAGAAGATTCAATAACTATCATGAAACTATCATCCCAATATATTTTTTCTCTTCTTTTCTCCTTTTGCAGGTATGGAGAAGGATTTGCATTTTTAGGGCCATGCAAACATACTTGAGTGGTGTCCGATTTCACTTGTAAACTCTGGGTATGATAAAAGTAAGAGATAATTGTTGTACAAGTTATATGTCAGTTATCACTTCCTTTTCAGCATGAGACTGCTAATTGCAGGTCTACAATATGTGCATGGATATTTGCCTACATCCCTGGTTGTATTCAATTCAAAAGGTACCAATTTATACAAACAAGCATTGATGGAAGCTAGCTCTTTTCTTGCATTAAGGTAATAGCAACGAGTATTGGTTGACTGCTAGTCAAAGGAAGAAGAATTGGACCCATAAATGGGGCACGTAGAGCATCAAAAATTATTTTCACCATGCTTCAACAGAATTACCCTATTGTTACTCTTAGAAAGAGAAGTATAAATACTTGCATAGCAGTCCACTTAAGGAGAAGCTTCTTGTGACATTATTAAAGAGGCAGGTTATTATCTTTTATACCATGTGTGGTGGTGTGACTAGAAGCATAGATCCGAAAGACTAAGTTACTGGTTTTGTTTTCTGAAAAATCAATTATTCCACAACAGAATTAAATCCAATACCAAATTTCACCAACTCAAGTGATAACTCAAATCTCATATTTTAATTTATATACTGAAATAAAAGTTGTCAATATGCTTAGTTGGTAAATTGTTTATGGATTGGCAAGGAAGAAGTATTCCACCTGGCTTATGCGTTCAATCAGCAACAACCCTGCAGTTCTAAGGTGATAAAGAAACTCCCCCATCATGCAGGTTACAGGAGGTATATGATGTTGGACAACACAAATAATGGATTGATGTCTTTAGCATCAGACATTACTCACCATTCTTAAGAAACCGACCCAACTGCAGATCTTTGATACTAGGGGCTAAAAGATCTACTTCACTCATTAATCTCCACATAAGTATTAGGGAAATAAAGTACCTGCAATTATTTAAAGACCAAATGAGAAGAAACTAAAATGAGCAAATAATACAAAAATTACAAGTTTAGATAAAATTACAAATAATTTACAACAGGTGAAACTTAAATCTTACTGGGAGATAACATGGGCAACGGCTGCACCAGTAACACCTAAACCAAACAGGAAAATGAATATTGGGTCCAGAATTATGTTTGTCAGATCTCCAATCACTGCGTTCCAGTAAACAATGTCAGCCTAATTGCATAGGGTAACAATTTTCACATACAAGAGCAGATTGGTAAAAATCTGTCACAAAAGATAGTAAATGTATAAAACTAGTCTGATTCATTTGTCCACTAGTACCCCAAAAGCAAGAGAAACATAAATATTAGTCAGAAAAAAAAGGTGCCTAAGAAACTTCAAAGCTTGCTTACTGGTTGCATAAAGAGGGGTTTTTGTATCCTTGAATCCACGAAAGACACCCTGCATGGCCAAGGAAAGGAGGACAGCTGGAGCGCCAAGTGACCTCACTATTAAGTACTTTTGGGCTGGGTTCAGCATAGGTGAATTCTACATGGAGAAAACAAAGCACTGTTATTTCATTTGGTTGCAGTAATGATCATTGATGATACAGTGGATACTGTGACAAGTAAGATAAAATGGTATTTGTAGAAATGTAAGCAATCCTGCATTAGATAATATTGTATAATCAGTTATCTTTATGAAACATCAACTGACTACTCCAAAACCCAATTACATTCTAATCCTTAAGAAAATTTTGAATTTTGAAAGTACAGAGCAGATACTCACACATTCAAGGCTAAGGAACAAACTTGACAATATTACAGCTTTGGGTATTAATTTATATCCTCATCAGTGAGAAATGAAAAAAACAACTTTGGTCATTACAATAATACACACCCAGTTGCTCTGTTTGCAAGAAACAACTGAATAACTCATAGAAATCTTGATAAAATTTGAATTGATCCTAGCTTAGATATAGATCTTAAAGCAAAAGAAGTACCATCTCCCCAGATGGACAAATGACCTACATCTTGTAAGCTAAAGATTAGACTTGAAGAGAAGATTCTTCTTCTCCAAAACAAGGTTGATGAGTTAAATTTGAAAGTACAAATGGAGGTCTCAACAAGAATCTGGTACAATGCTTAATAGTCACAATACATTCAACATGGTGAGATGTATAACATTCAGGTGAGGTATCATGTATTGCTTCTTACAATTCCATAAAATCTACTGATGAAGAACTAGGTGCAAGATAGGGATTAAACCAAAAATACAACTTAATATTTCTGTTCCACCAGACTATTTATCTTTCAAATTTGAAAGACATGAAGTAAATTAGAAAAAGCAAAACGCCCTGCTTAAAGAGTATATCTGATTCTTAAAGAGTTGCTCCATGGATTCTTTTTAACGACTTCACTCATATAGGAAACAACTTAAACAAAATTTGAATATCAACAAGAAGAAACTTCATTCAAGTTGAGCTATGAGATGTTCTGTTTATACTGAGGAGACCACCTAAAAAATGGTGAAGGCTGTGTGAAAGAACCATAAGTGATTACTAATATTAAGAAGATTAACTTACAGATTCTACACCCATGTAGTTTAACAAGGGTTTTGCAGCAAAAATGAGGAAAATTGCTTGGATGATACCAAGTATACAACCTATGAGCAATGCTGATGAAGCAGAAGAGTTATGCCTGCTGTTCCGCCTACCATCAACCACCTTCCCTTGGCTACTGCTGAATGATTTGCTACTCAATTCTGTATCAAGGTAGAGAACATCGGAAAAGTTCACAACAGCAGGAGCAAGATTGCTTATTTAACTAACAACTGTAATCAAATAGATAACATTGAAAAAGTGAATTTTCATATTTTCAACAAAAAAGGAATTATCACAGCACTTTTTTCTACGGATGACAAAGAGAAAAATAGTCAAAGCCTTACCCACTTTCGGTAGCAACTCTTCCTTTTCGCCATCTGCAGCAAAACCATTCTCCACTATTTCAATTTCTTGTGAATCAATGCTCAAACTTTTAGTAGCATCTTCTTCAGCAACAAAAGAAGTTGTCACACTAACGAGTGGGAATATTGCAATTTTTGATGCTTGGTTAAATACAGCAATGGCGACACCTACAGCCGCAAGTTCCACTGGACCTACATGCAGTTATGATGAATCAGTCAGACAATTAGGTTACCACTAGCGACTTTCCAAGACCCAATACGTAAAAAGCAAGAGGAAAGATATGACTTAGGTTGCATATAATTAATATTTTACAAGAGCTACAACGGTATTCAACATAACCAGTTCAGAAAAGAAAAAAGCAGAGAAGTACATTCCCTTTGCTGCTGCATTCATCTGAGAGCAGTTTAACAAAAAAAGAAGAAGAAGAAGAAGAAAGTGGTGAATTGCAAACACAGCCACAAGCCTAGGTAGCTTTGCAATAAACATAGCTCTAGTTCTAAGAATCTGAAGATTTGACCAGAAACTAGAAGCAAATGTGCAAAGAATATACTTCAAATTAAACTAGCAATCTTTTTATATGATTTATCAAAAGCAGGTCCAATGCAAATTGATGTTTCAATGCCAGAGTAGCAGAAACCAAATCTTTTTGGTATTTATAAAAATGTCATATGGTATTCTTAGAAGGGTAATTGTTTTCAGCTGATTGATGTTTTCTGGAGTGTCAAGTCCCTTTACATGTTTTCATTACCTCCAAAAGCACAATTTTTCACTATAGCACAAAGAAGCCTCAAGTTTTCATGTACGTTTTTCAATTATGGATGGAACAAAGAATCTTTATTGATTAAACAGGACAAAGTACAGCACAACTTTCAGAATGAAAATGCGATCACATAAGACCATCAGTAAAGTATCAGCAGTGATGAAAGAACACCAGGAAGAAAGGAACAAACCTATATGACCAATGAAAGCTGTATCAACTAAAGAAGCAATTGGGTCAGCAGCTAAGGCCATTGCTGCAGGTATTGCAATCTGTGCAATTTCCACTCCTAACTCGTCCTTCTTGAAAACATTTCTGCACCACACATTATCAACTTCAAATTAAATATCTATCTAACAAGAGACCTTATATTCCCTCCCCACCTAAAAAGTTAAAAGAGCAACCATCATACAAACAATTGACGAAAACAACACAAGCCTTTTCAAAATCAATCAGTACCTTATGTTCTTAAACAGACCCCATACAGGATTCTCGCCCATATTTCTATACAGATACAAGACATCATAGTCTGACATGGCTGAGTAAAGGCCTCCAAAGCTCTCAAGCTTTAAACTTGAGTAAAGCTCACCGCATTAACTTCAGCATCCCAGACACCCAAAATGATCAGAAAAGGCTCCAAGTTTACCAAGAACACTGAACTGGGTTCCAGGAAAAAGTGTCAAATAACAGAAAAGGAATTCAATTCCAGCAAGAAAACTTTACTGGTTTCTAACAAACACAACAAGAATACGGAAAGAAGAACAAACTCAAAGAATCAAGAACTGATCACCTAATAACTCTTCCTACTTTATGTAACGAAAAATTGAAAAGAATCTTGATTCTTGAATCCACGAAGAGTTCAAAGGAGGTACCCCAGAAAGACTTGGGTAAAAAAGTAAAAAACTCAAGTATCTAAGAATGCTTAACAGGCAAGCACTGGAACGGTCAGCACATGAGATGGAGGTTGGTTGGAAGTGCCGGTTTGACTCAGGGAGCGTATAGACCTTCCTCAGTAATGGCAGCCCCAGAAAAGTTCGAGGAGGACTTTTAAAAGGGCGCAAGAGAGGCAGGTCCAATATTTTAAGGGGAGGGAACCTTCCACTGTCTGATATCCAAAATCCCCAGCAATTCCACCACCTGTCCTGTGGGAAAAATCCATGCATGTACAATTGGATCGTCAGATGGAAATTAGCAAAAATTGAAAGTGGGTTTAGCATAGGATATCACCTTAAGCAATTGATTGTTCAGAAATGTTTCCAAGAAACAAGCCAAAAGAAAAACCATGCAAACGCGAGTTCTATATTGGAAAAAAAATTTTGAGAGCAAGAAATTATATATATCTCGGACTATGATGTGATAGTTGGATTGTTTAATTTCCTTGTGTTTCTTCTGTCCCTTTCAAGATGTTATCTGAAAAAGATGTTTGAGTCAATTTTTCAGGTGTGCTTTCCCATATTCGTTTCCAACTTCGAGTGGTGTCCAGAGGATTCATGCTCCAAACGCTTTGCACCAGTGATAGTGGCGGATGAGACCCACCCGCACACAAATTGTTCGGACGTAGTAAGCTAATAGGAAAACAAACTCCATGTTGGTCAGTGTTGTTTAAAATGGCGTCAACATCCATAAGGTTCTCTAAAAGTTTAAGTACCAATAATACCCCCAAGGTATAGTTAATAATAATCACTTTGCATTTATTTCATGGAGGCCTCTATACCTAGGCCTGTCAACGGGGGTCCCGGACTTGATCCGTGAATTTTTTGCGAGTACGAGTAGGGATTTAATTCCGTTATCCGGATCCGAATCCATTTTATCAAATAAAAAAATGGGTCGGATACGGAATATAGTATTCCGGCCCGTATTAGACCTAGATCCGGATATAAATGGATTAATAATTTAAAATATATATTTATCAATATAATTAGATTAGGGTGATGTATTTGAGTAAAGTCAATTTGATTTCTTTTCTTATTTGGTTTTTTTTATATTAGTTAGAAATTAGTTTACAAATATATTTTTTTCTCATTTTTATTAGAAATTATAAGTTTTTGATAATTTTTTTCGGGCCGACCCGACTCGGATCTGAGATCTGTCGGATCCGAATTCGAAATATAGAGTAGAAGACCCGTCGGGTAAATGGGTCGAATCCAGGTCCAATATGATATGCCGGGTCCGGATCCGGAATAATGAATTTCGGTCCGGATCCTGGCCCGTTGATAGGCCTATCTATACCCTTGACTATAAAGTTTTAATTTAAAAAAAAAAAGAAAAAGCGCGCGCGCGCGCACACACACACATAAGCATACGCACAATACTTTCAAAGTTGTAAAACTCCACAAAAATGAAGCAATAGAAAATTTCAAACCAAACATTCTTTTTGCGGCTAGATCGAGTCTCTCTCGGTCCTATAGAATGAAATCTTGAAGGTTAGTGCTTTATTCAAGAATTACAAAATAATTTATAGGCACACGATATTGAAAAATATCGATAGTTATTAGGAATTTACTTCATTACTAGTATCCAAACAATTTGACATTAAAGTAGATAAAGTTAGTGGTGAATGTATGGAGGGGTAAATTTGTTTTCTAAATCATTTTGTAAGTTTACGTGTTATTTCATTAAGCAGAAAAGAAAAGAGGAGTGCTTGGAGGGTTTTTTTTTGGAGTGCCAACAATAATACATCATTAGTCAAAATTAATTCTATTAGTGTGATTCTATTTCGAGTGGCACTTGTCCCATGTGATTTAATGCAGCGAAGAAATTATTTGCTGTCCAGATCAGCTATTTAATAAGTCTATTAATTGATCTTTAATAAGTCTATTTAGTTAGAAGACTAATGTACCTCGTAGCTTGCCCAAGAACGCAAGCGCATTATCATAGCTAACTTCGAACTGATGACATATAGGATACGACAATTGTGAGACGAGCCAATTTCGCTTGATTAAGCTTACAAAACTAGAGGACGGCAGGCTACTAGAAATCACGGCCTCCCAGTTTGAGACTAATTTTACCACACATTTACGGCCGTGTCCTTCTATGTTTTGGAATAAGACCTAAATTCCTTTTTTACCGTCACTGCAATATACCAATTCTTTTACGTACATTCGATAACATATTGATCGCGTGACCAATGAGCAAGCAAGCAACCGGGTTTGAAACGTCTCCTGCACTGCAACATCCAGAGAGCCAATTAATGATTAGAATCTTGATGATGCTGGAGGCAATTGTGTCCCTCGACCACACGTAAGATTTCATGGCTTGCATCCTTCAGCAGACAACACTGAAACTCCCAAAGAAACATATGCCCCAGATGCAATACATGATTGGGTAGAACACAAAAGAATTGCCTGATGAAAGGTGATCTTGCAGACCTTGCACTTCTAGATCTGCACGTCTTGCCGTGATCTTAGCAATCACTCTGCAGCCCTGTGCCCAAAACTTAAAGCAAAAAAGTACCAAATCCTCCGCACATGCCATTTATGTCTCAAAAATCATATTCTGCAATTATGTAGGTACCTACAGCAGAAAAGACCAATTATGGAGGGATCCAAAATACTTTTTCATTGATTTCAATAATGCTGGAATCCATATTAAAAGGACTGCTAAGTATCAGACCAATAATATAAACTACTTGTAGCATCATTCCTTTATTTACCAAAAAAAAATCATTGCTTTTATCTTTTTGCGGAAGGCAGCCCTTACTTTGTGATGGAACTGCATATTCTAAAGTAAAGGAGTTTCCATTTTATACCTTGATATCTCTCCAGTTCTTTTAAACTCTACAAGCAGCAAGCTCCAGCAAAGACAATTTGAACTCCTGCTTTTTCAAGTTCAGCAAAAACTTTTCGCTTTCTGACGACTAAGCAACTTCAATGCCATGCCAGACTTCTTGTACAATGCACCAACACTGACTAATACAGAGTATTAACAATTAAACAGTACCTCAGTCTCAAAAAATGGAATATCCAATTGGCTTCATCATTTTGTAAGCAGAATAAGCTGCAAGTCAACAACAAACAGCCATTGCATTTGTAAACTCAAGGCAGCTACACGGCCGACGGTGCTATCTTGCAGATAATTAACATGGTGGACTGGAAGTCTGGAACTTCCAAATCTCATACTTCTGCTTTCCCCAACCTTAAGGAGAGCATCTCCAGCATTAGTAAGTACTCAAAGTTAAAACTTCACAGACTGGTATGCATGAATGAATCAAAAAACTGCCGGGCTATTATTGTTGAAACTCATGGAAGTGAGAAAGGGGTCGGGTGGGGGGTGGGGGAGAGTACCTTCTGGATTAAATCACTCTCACGCTGGAAGTTGATGAATTTTACTTGTAAAAAAGTGCTAAATTGGCCTTTTGATCCAAAAATGGGCAACCTCTCAGAAACAGGGTTTCACTTGTTTATTAAGGGCATGAAGTTCCCTACCAGAGAAAAGAGAAAGATCTTGCATGAAGTCCCTCTCTCCTCCTACAACACCTTTCACTGGTACCCTGCCAGCCTCAAAATAATCAAGTTCAGCATCTTAATCAGAAGAAATTACTTGACCAAAAGAACACTTTCTCTGAATGGAAAGTAGCAATGATTATTCTTGTTATTGGTCCTTTATTTTTTCAGAGAATGAGATTACCAATTAATTATCACTTAATATTACAAATAACCAATTAGGTAGAAATCCTTACCACTTAATATCACCAATAATCACCACAGGAACATTCCCCACCCGAAAAATGATGGAACCGCTTGTTATCTCTCACAATGATTAATCTTCCGGTGCACTTCGACATAAACTTAATAGCTGTGTGACAATCACCACAAACTCGCAAGTTCTTCATAATTCTAATTGGCCTTTCAGGTGGAAAGGTTATTAGTGCAAATGCAATAGCTAATCTTTCACTATGATACCTAATTGCTTCACTCTTCTCTTCATTGCCAACTGCTCGCAACACTTGACTGGTGTCCATAACATAGCCAGCTAGCTCCATTTCATTCTCTAGTTCCCCAAGTTTTTCATAAATTTCCTTAGATTTAAAATGTTGCCTTTCCCCTGCAGCAAATGTATGGACCTTATTTCCTTCCTCAACCCAACTTAAACCAGTTTCTTTCTTCACTCCTCGATCCCTTAACATCTTTCTGGCTTTGGCCGCTTCTTCATACCTACCAACAGCTGCATAAGCATTTGATAACAGAACGTTAAAGCCTGAACTTACTGAACCTAATTCAAGGATCCTATCAGCTGCATAGGCCGCCAACTCAGTATTACCATGAAGTCGGCAGCCGGTCAGTAGAGCTCCCCATACAGATTCTGTTGGTTGAATTGGCATTTCCTTGATAAGCTTCGTAGCCTCCTCCAATTTCCCAGCTCGCCCAAGCAAGTCCACCATGGAAGCATAATGCTGATCCCCTGGCTCAATGCCATACTCCTTCATTAATCCAAAATAGTAGTTACCTTCTTTGACTAGCCCCGCATGACTGCACGCATAAAGCACACACAAAATGGTTATAAAATTTGGCTTCATCCCACAACTCTTCATTCTCCCAAACAACTCAAACACCTTCTTTGTGTGTCCATGTTGAGCACAAGCAATCAACATTGAATTCCACATTCCTAAATTCTTATCAACTGCCTCATTGAAAACCTGACAAGCATTCTCTACAACGCCGCACTTCGAGTACAGAGATATCAAAGAACTTCCCACAAAACTCGAAGAATCACAATTCATCTTCACACACAAGCTATGCATTTGTCTCCCCAACTCCAGCAACGTAGAATTTCCACAAACACGAATCACACTTGAAAAGGTAAAGTCGTTTAAACTCAAACCCCCCTCCAACGCCCTCTTAAAAAGACCCAAAGCTTCATTATCCTCCCCCATCTGCGCATACCCATAGATCATCCCACTCCACGAGACAATGTTTCTCTCAGGCATTTCGTCAAACAACTTCCTCGCATACCCCAATTCCGCACATTTTGCGTACATATCCACCAAAGAACTTCCAACATACACGTCCAAATTCATTGCATTTTTCACTGCAAGACAATGCATTGACATCCCAACATCATGCCTACTCATGATCGCACAAGCCTTAACAGCGCTAGGCAAAATATGCTCATCTGGAGCAAACCCATTATAAAGCATTGCCCGGAAGTACGATAATGCTAAAATAGGCAGATCATTTTGGGCAAACGTGGAAATCATAGAGCTCCAGGTGGTTGATGACTTAAAAGGTGCTTCCTCGAAAACAAACTGGGAGTCAAATGGGCGTTGAAGCTTTGAATACAAGTTGATTAAGTGGTGGGAAACTAATGGAATTATCTGAATCCCAGACTTGACGATGTGGGAATGCAAGGCTTGGCCTTTGAGAAGGGAGCCTGAGCGAGTAAGGGAAAGCAAGAAATTGCATATTATCCTGAAGTTCTCCTGAAAACTTTGCTGGTTTAATGGGTTTTTGGGAGGTTTATAGGGAAGGGTCTGAATAGGTGGTGATGGGCGCGAGAATTGGGGTGGATCTTGGAGGAGAGGGAGAACCATCACAAGGTGGAACTGGAGCTAAAGGCGCTGGTGTTGGGGAACCAACCGTCTGTTCGTTGGTACGGACTGAAGTGAAGGGACAGAGACACAAAATGGAGGGAAATTGTGGAATTTGGATTTGAGGGATTTTCTCATAGTGAATATTTTAGCCTATTATTTGTAATTTTGTATCGTTCGTGTAGTTTAGGAAACTCCCCTTAAACTATAGTGAGATTCACAGTTTATGCTATAATTTTTATCTCACTTTGACTAGCAGTCTTTTTTTTTTTTCCTTAGCTTTGAGTAATCGTATCCCTACCCTCAGTGACACTAATTATCCAGACTTTTACTCTGGAGTGAAAACCTAATTTAGAACTTTTCAAGACGTTACATATAAAAGTTGAATTTGAGATTTGTTGTTGGTCTTAAAAAAAAAATTAGATCTGTTGTTGGTATTAGCAACCCTCTTGCCAATTGTACTAAACTCATGGCTTAAACTAGCAGTCCTTCATACTAAGCTTTTTTTTTTTTTTTTTGGTGGGGAAGGGTTTCGTGGGGTGGGATTTGGTCTGATAGTAGTTCGATGCTCATCGATTCCTGTAAGTTCATTCATGTCTTCCCTTTAGATTAGGATAGAGTAGGATAATATAGATAAATTGACGATAACAAAAAAAAAAATTCATGGTGGTGAAGTAGCAAATGAGTGAAATAAAATTATTAGAAAAAAATATTAATATTTAATTACTTATAAAGAATTGTATACAAAATAATCAAACAAGAAAAAATTCATTAGAAGAAAATGAACAAAAATATGTCCAACTAACTAGCATGTGAATGTGATTGTAATAAATGAATAATTTATTTCGAAATTTTTAATAAGGATATAGAGTATAATTTTTTAAAATTTATTATATTGAAAAAAATGGACAAAATAAATTAGAATATAATTGATTGATAATTTCCTTATGCTTATACTATATAAGAACGAATTTGATATTAGATTTCAATCGCAAGGGTGAGACTATTTTGGGAATGTGAGAGTGTTTGAAGAATAATTGGAACATTGAGTACAAGTCATTATAGTTTTAATTTCATTATAATTACTTATATAACCTTTCAGACATTTAAGGTTAGGGGCAGGTTTGGTATGTTACAATGTTTGGTGCCAAATTGAGTATCAGGTACAATTGAATAAACCTTGTATTTTGATAGAACGAGTTTAGGACTAGATTTCAACCGCAGGGGTGATGCTATTTTGGGAATGTGAGAGTGCTTGAAGAGTAATTGGAACATTGAGTACAAGTCATTATAGCTTTAATTTCACTATAATTACTTATATAACCTTTCAAACATTTAAGATTAGGGGCAGATTTGGTATGTTACAATGTTTGGTGTCAAGTTGAATATCAAATACAATTGAATAAAGCTTGTATTTTGATAGAATTACATAAAAGTCCTTTTAATCATTTATTATATTAACATCGAAGCCTTCAAATTTCTTAAAACCTTTTTTATCCATTAAGAAATTAATTGAATGTTTACATAATTGGATTTTAATTACAATTAATTAACTTAATTATTATCTGAACAATCATTATCATATTTATGTCCCCATATTTAACTGATATCCTTTCTTCTTTTTCGGTTTCACCTCTTTGATTTTATTATGGCTATTAAATATTTGGTGGAATGCATAACTTTTCCCTTAAATATAAGAACGAGTTTAGGACTATATTTCAACCACAGAGGTGAGACTATTTTAAAAATGCGCGAGTATTTGAAGAGTAATTGGAACATTGAGTACAAGTCATTATAACTTTAATTTCACTATAATTACTTATATAACATTTCAGACATTTAAGGTTAGGGGCAGATTTGGTATGTTACAATGTTTGGTGCCAAGTTGAGTATCAAGTACAACTGAATAAAACTTGTTTTGTATTTTGATAGAATTACATAAAAGTTCTTTTAATCATTTATTATACTAACATCCAAGTCTTCCAATTTCCTGAAACCTTTCTCATCCGTTAAGAAATTAATTGGATGTTTACATAATTGGATTTTAATTATAATTAATTAACTTAATTATTATCTGAACAATCATTATCATATTTATGTTCCCATGTTTAGCCGATACCCTTTCTTCTTTTTCGGTTTCACCTCTTTAATTTTATTATGACTATTAAATATTTGGTGGAATACATAGTTTTTCCTTTAAATTGAGGTGAGTTCTTTAGATTTGTCTTCTTCGATTGTAGTTTTTTTTTTCTGATGATTGGTTTATTAAAGAATTCCATATAGTTTGCCATTTGATATTTCTAATTCTAAAAACTAATTAATTGTATTGTTTTTCTTAGTAAATTTCAGAGATTCTGTCTCTGTCAAAATACAATTTGAGATAATGTTGTCACTTTCTAAAATAATCAAAAAAGTAATTTTATCATCTTTTCCTCCTCAGCCAAGATATTATCTATTTATTTAAGTCAAATAACCTTATTTCTCATGAATTTTCTCCTATTATTATTGACTCTAGAGATCTGTTGACTACATTCCAGCAATTATGGTTCAAGTAGTTATTTTTTCATGTAATATGATTTGAAATTCAACTTGTGTTTATTTTAATTGAAAATTTTATGATTGTAAAATTTATTAATTTAGAATTTTGTACTTCATTGAAACTAAAAAAGAAAATTAATCATGCTACATAGTACTAAGATGTCATTTGCACTCTATTTGCATTCCATGTTATGATCTCGTTCTTGTATTATATTGTTTATATAGTTTCAAATACAAAAAATTTATTTTTTATACTATGTAAAAGAATTTGTAGTGGAACTTGATGAGTTTAAATGCTTTAGCTACAACACCATTTTGATTGCATTGTATTAATTCATTTACTCATAATTGTATGCTGTACAATGATAAATAATGTTTCTTGATTTGATTGATGCAACTATTATCCATAGTTCAAACGAGTCAATTAAGTAGAGATGTTATATTGGATACTTATACAAGTAAACATTAGAAAATATCATTAAGCAGTTTCTACCTATAGTTTGCAATTCAAATTTATATGAGGAATTTCTTCTGATTTTACTTACCATTTTCTACAATTTCAAATTTAGAAAATATTGTTTGCACCAATTTTTTATAATCAAGATAGTTTCAATTTAAATCTTTAACAATTATGCAGATTTGAACTTATTTATGAGATTATAAAGAAATGCCCCTAGCAAAAAACACCAAATCTAAATAGTTTCTACAAAATTTTGAAAAAGATCACTTAAGTTTCTTATCTATCTATCATTTTTTGGCATTATTATCTCTGTAAGAAACATGTGATTAAGTCGTATTATACCCACCAAATTATATAAATAGTTAGTAAAAAATAAAATTATTTTAGATTAGATTGGACGCAAAGTGATTGATGGATAAACTTGACTTGATAATTTAGCTTGAGTTTAAGTCGAGGGAGAAATCAAAAGCATTACTTGAGTGATCTTTCACGAACATATATAGATTCGAGAGATGAAAAGTCCAATTGATACTTTAAAATGTTTTATCATCTTGGATAAGTTTTAGAAGAGACTTTTGAATACTTTTCAATTGCACCTCAAACATTCTTACATTTTCAAACTACCCTTATCTTTGCAGTTGAAATTCAAACATAACTTTTGATCACAACGGATTCTTATATAATATAACGATAAGGATGTCTTATTGCACATTATTTTTATTGACTCACTATGCAACTTATAATTTTTCTATTAAAATCACATGATAAAATCATCATACTTCAGTTCCTATATTATAAAATATTAAACAATAATTATTAATTATCTTGAATCACAAACACCAAATTCCCACGTGTCGCGCGGGCTGTCCTCCCTAGTACTAATTATAAGTAAATGTAGGCATTGTAAATTTTTGGATGGGATGAATTATGACAAATGAAAACAATACAAAGTAATGTCGAATCTCCTATATTTAAAAATAAAATAATAGTAGAACGTAATTTTATGTAAACTTAATTATTTGATGGTACAAAATTTAGAAAATGAACTAATGGGTGGAAGAAAATTTATTTGCTAAAAAAAAAGAAGAACACAAATAAAGAAAAAAAATTCAACATAATGGAGGGATAATTTTTTTCTCTTGAGGAGGTTAAGTAAAAAAAAAAAATAGAGATTTTTTTTTTTTTGGGAGGAGGCGAGATGGCAGTGGGTGGAGGAGAGAGGAGTTTGGATAGCAAATTTTTTCAAAAAAAAAATTCACTTGCATCATAAATACATTTGCTAATTTATTTTTTTATATTTTTAATCACTTTTTTATCTCATCACAACAAGTATCACAGTAATTATTTCAAATAATTGTTTAGAATAATATTCTATCCAAACAAAGCTAATTTACCGTAGTGCCAACCTAACACGACTTCAGCATGCAGCGCTACCAGACACCGAAACTTCACTTCACACAGTCAAGACTAAAATCGCTAAATCCTTTCCCCTTTCTCTTCTTTTCTCGTCTCGTCTCTGGTCTCCCCATTTTACAATTAGCCTATTCGAAGTTCTTCTGCTATTACAGTGTACTACCAAGCACAATAATACAGAATCTGTTAGTATTCTATTATCAATGGAAGAGAAAGAACAACCAGAGTTGATGCTGAAACCGTCATCCTCCAACTTTGTAGCAGAATCGAATTCAATGGTATCCGCTACACTGGGCAGAGTTATGCACACGCTACTCGACGCTCGCCCCAAGAAGCTCCAACATGCAATCTCCAATCTTCACTCCCCTCCTAAACTAGCCCCTCTTAGCAGTAATCTAACAAAATTTGCCCTTTTTTTCCTGCAATAGTGATTTTAACTAAGTTAATCAGTTCATTTACTTGTTTTTTTTTTCTGGGTTTTTTTTATTTATTTAATTTTCAGTTTCTTTGGAGCAGTCATTGTTGTTTCTGCATAAGTACGTTGGGGATGCTGCTGAGAAGGAGGGCACATTGGATGAAGTTCTTGTTCCCATGATTGAACATGTCTGTTTGGGATTCTAAGTTTCTTGTTTTCAAAATTTTGAGCTTTTTCTTGAAATTTTAGCCAGTTAAGATTAATATGATCTACTGGACCTCTTGTCTCGAAG